GTGTCGGACGAGTAAGAGAAAGAAACTAGATGATAAGAGTTTTCGGTATGTGTCTGCTAGGGATGAGTGAAGAGTCTAAAGCATATAGACTTTATGATCCAACATCCGAGATGATAATAATAAGCAGAGATGTGGTTTTTGAAGAAAATGAGTGCTGGAATTGAGGGAGGAGTAATGAAGAAGTAAGACTTGATGTCCTCGATTGGGGAGATAGTAATGAAGAGGGAAGTGAACATGATTAAAGTGAAGAAGAATCTGAATAGGAGGTGGCGAGTAGAAGAAAGAGGAGGATAGGTTAGCTTACCTTCAAATGAGTCACCTAGAGAGAATTCTCAAACATCCGAAGAACGCTCATCGAAGGGAGGAACAAAAAAGTACCATCCCGGATGGAAGATTATGTGAGTGGGGGAGAATTTTCAAAATAAAAATTTGAGCATAATTTGGTTCCGTTTACTTCCCTCTTCGGATCCGACTACCTTTGAAGAAGCTATTCGGAGTTCCAAATGGAGAGCCGTAATGGACTTAGAGATAGAAGCAATCAAAAGGAATGGGACTTGGGAGTTGACAGATTTGCCTAAAAAAATGAAGAAAATTGGAGTAAAATGAGTTTTCAAAACTAAACTCAATGAAAATGGTGAGGTTGACAAGTGTAAGGCTCGACTTGGTAGCGAAAAGGTAAGCATAGCGAGCATGGTATAGATTATACCGAGGTGTTTGCACTCGTGGCTAGGTGGGATACGATTCGAATGGTAATTGTTTTAGAAGCTCAAAATGGTTGGAATGTGTATCAGCTTGATGTCAAAAGCGCTTTCTTACATAGAGAGTTAAATGAAGCGAGTGTTTATCGAGCAACCATAAGGTTATGAGAAGAAAGGTGAAGAGCATAAAGTGTATAAATTGGAGAAGGCATTGTATGGTCTCAAACAAGCCCCTCGTGCATAGTACGGTCAGATTGAAGCATACTTTGTCAAAGAAGGATTTGAGAGGTGCAATTGTGAACACACTTTATTCATAAAACGAGAAGATGAAGGTAAAATTATGATTTTTAGCTTATATGTTGATGATCTAAATTTTACCGGTAATCATGAGAGTATGTTTGTTAAGTTCAAGAATTCTATAAAACTTGAATTTGATATGACCGATTTGGGAAAGATGAAATATTTTCTCGGTGTGGAGGTTTTACAAAATTCGAAGGCATTTATAGTAGTCAAAGAAAGTATGCAAAGGAAGTTTTGGAGAGGTTTAGGATGGAGAAGAGTAATAGTGTGAAGAATCCTATTGTTCTCGGCACTAGACTAATGAAGGATGAAGAAGGAGCCAAGGTGAATGCTACCATGTACGAACAATTGGTCGGGAGCCTTATGTATCTAACCGCAACAAGGCCGTACTTGATGTATGTGGTGTGTCTTATTAGCAGATTCATGGCAAGTCCAATTGAGTTACATTTGCAAGCTATGAAAATGGTATTAAGATACTTGAAAGGTACTATGGATTTAGAAGTCTTTTATTGAAAAGGGGGTGATGAAGAGTTGATGGCATATACAAACGAGTGATTATGCGGGAGATGTAGATGACAAGAAAAGTACTTCGGATATGTAATTCTACTCAGTGAAGGAGTTGTGTCGTGGTCCTTTAAAAAGCGACTGTGGTTACTTTGTCTACTACCGAAACAGAGTTTGTGACAACCGCTTCTTGTGCTAGTCAAGGGGTGTGGATGAGGAGAGTATTGGAGAAGCTCGATCATTCTCAAGGCAAGTGTACCACCGTGTTATGTGACAACAGTTCTACCATTAAGCTATCCAAAAACCTAGTCATGCACAAACGCAGCAAACACATTGATATAAGGTTTCATTTCTTACGTGATTTGACCGGAGATGGAGTTGTTAAGCCGAAGCATTGTGGCACACAAGAACAAGTTACGGACATTATGACAAAACCACTTAAGCTCGGATGTGTTCTTGAAGTTACGTGAGTTACTGAGTATGTGTGTGGTACCAGGAGTAAACCGAAAGCATTACCGCAATCAGTTTAGGGGAGGAATTGTTATGGTCATTAGAGTTATAGTTGAAGTTGTCAAACTTCATTCGGTTAATAATTCCTATTATTTAGGACATGTAGGTAGAATTTATCTATTTCCTTAGCCATTTACCACGTAAAACTTGGGTTGTTTGTTTATATTTTATTTCTTTGTAAGGCTTATATAAGCCAATAGTTTGCTTTGAATAAATGACGTTTTTTGTGCGTAGAGATTATAACGGGCATTTGGTTCCTAATTTAGAATTTACGTGGGATAACTATTCTATAGGTCAAGGTTTTTATTGCTTGTTATAAAGAGGTTTTTTTTTCTTTTTTTGCAAAGTAAAGGCAACAAGTTATTTGACATTATACGAACTAAGTTGCTTATTTCTATAATTTCAATTTAATTGGACTAGAATGGTCAATTATTGCCCAACAATTTAATATCATTTTTTGAAATTAGGTTGTGAATTATAATCAACCTTGAAACAAAACGGAGAAAAGGGGGAAAAACGTGAAGTTTTTTAATTTTTTTTTTTTGTCTTTTTACTCAAAAGGCATATAAATAGGTTTATCATAAAGAATTATGGCTTTTACACTTAATTACATATCTAAATAGACTCATATTATATTTATATTAAGATTAAAATATAAAATAAATTATATAAAGATATGTTATCTAACAAAGACATATAAAACCTCAAGTTTCTTCTTAGGGCAGATTTTTTAAAATGTGAGATAGCAAAGGGAGACCCTTTGATTTTTTACTTTTGGAATCGTAAATTGGGCTTGGGTTTTGAGGATTTTAAGTGTTTTTATTGTAAACATGTTGTCTAATTCTATGCCCTAACTTTTTCTTTCCTAATAGATGATCATAACTTTTACCTTGAAATGAAGAAGTGATTCAATGATAATCTACCAAAATTTCTTCTTTGGTTGAAGCAGAGTTCAATTAGAAAGATGAAACTTTAAATAAGTTCTCCGATAAATTATGAGAAAACTTAAATAGCTTTCATTAATTGAATCTACTAAACCACATATTGACAAACATAAATCTAAATGATCCGAGGTATAGACCGTAAGAACCAAATGCTAGTCCCAAACAAGTAAATAACAACCACACAATGACACAAATCAAAAGAGAGTGATTGGGGCCTTAGTCCACACTTTACCAAGATTAATAATAACTTATATGAAGTTGTTGGAGACAGAATCATCTCCATTATTTTCATTCCCCTTCCTTGAAAATGGAACCCGATAACTATAAACTGTGATTATTATTAAATAATTACCAAAAAAAACTTTCTTCAAAAAATATTTTATCTAAAAACCGCATTAATTAATTTTTAAATCTCTCAAATATATATATATATATATATATATATATCAAACTCGTCAAAAACTATAAACTGTGATTATTATTAAATAATTACCAAAAAACTTTCTACAAAAAATATTTTATCTAAAAACCGCATCAATTAATTTTTAAATATCTCAAATATATATATATATTATCAAAACATTCAATAGTTAACTGGTGTTAAGAAAAATATTGTTATTAATGCATTTTTTAGATAGAATATTTTTTTTATAGGATTTTTCTAGTAGTTGTCCATTTGGTATAGTTATTGGAAAATCCTCTAAAATATTCATCTATTTATTTTTAAATCTTCAACTAATTTATTTCTAAATCTTCCATTCAAAATAATATTTTTTTAATAAAACACTCAATAGTCAACTCGTTGTTAAGTTAAATGTTCTTAAATCTCTTAAATCCAAAATCATATAGTTATATTAAGCTAGGGTTAACTATTGAGTGTATGGAATAGGAAAATATTGTTACGAATTTGAGAGATTTAAAATAAATTGGTAGCTTTTTTAAATAAATCTTTTTAGAAAAATTTTCTAGTAATTATACTAGATAGATTTAGAGTTAATTAATTAGACATCTATATATTTTTTTTTCATGTTAATATTGGGAGAAAATTTTTGGGTAAATACGGGTAAAAACATATAGCGTAGTGAGCTACAAATAGAAAACAAACTTTCCACATTTTTAAATTTTGATGTGATAATGAAATTTCAAATTGATTTCTGAGTAAATTATATTGTAATTCTACTGTTTTTAGCCAAATAATTGGGTCCCTCTATTTTAAAAATCCCTATAGTGCATCTTTATATTTTTATATCCAATCCATTTATAACTTATTAGCCCTTATGTTAAATTTTCATTAATGAGTATTACTAAACTGTCACCATTTTAGTTGGATGACTAAATTATGATCTTTGAAACCAAAAGGACTAAATAATTACTTATTGGTACTTTTACCTACAAAATTGGACACATGCTCATCCAGATCTAGGATTTGCTCCAGATTTCCTGGAAATTCTTTCGATTTGCTAGGTATACTATTATATACAGCAAATATATGCATTGGAATTTGGATATTTAACTAAGAAAAAAGGGGGCAAACAGACGGAAAAAGCTACTAATATATAATCATCAAAAGACCTTTTAACTAGCAGGTCTCAGATTTTCTACAGAAACTATATATACATTTCATTTCCAGTCAAAAGCAACTCTACACTACACAGTTTTCCTTCATGAGGAAATACTTACAAAAACCAGCGGCATAAGAAAACCAAAAGATGCTTAGCATGATTACACTTCCTTTCCAACCTACAAAATACAAGCCCTTAGTGTTGTTATAACAAGTGCACATGGTGAGAGTAGGAAACCTGAAAAGACTATCAAGGGGGCTAGAGTGCTACATCTATATCTTACAGCAGCAAAAAAAACAAAAGAAACCAGACCCTAAAACTTGCTGGCAGTATCAACCATATCTTGTCATGTTCCTCCACTTATCCTTCAAATCAACCTGGAGAAATCATCAAGGGAAAAATAAACGAATAATGCTCAATGTTAAAACAAAGAAACATTGCCAGCTAAACATAAACACTACACGATGATAGATCTTGTTTACCTCGGTTCTCTCTTGAAACACATCACGTCTAGAGTTCCAGATCAGCTTCCAGTTTCCTTTACCATACCTTTAAAAAAGGAAAAGAGCAAGAATAAGGATCCATCAAACTATACAAAGCAAAAAATTACTGGCCACTTTGTCTAACAAAACTACATACTTCTTTACAGCCTCCCTCAAGGCATCTTCCTCCTCCAGACTCCACTTCTTAGGTTTTCTCCTCTTAATAAACCTTGCCAGTTCATGTTTCTTCAATGGAGAGACGGCCTTTCTCTTAGGGCTATCCAAATGAAATCTTTTCATCTGACCTCTAGTTCCTTCAGGTGAGTCATCTATTGAATCGTCCCACTACAATAAAATTATTTGGTGAGATACAACAAGCTTGCAAACTATGAAAAAGTACAAATGTAAAGCAACACAAACTGAACAAGATAAACACTTCAAAGCAACAGTGAAACGCTGTCATAATGTCAAAAAGAAACATGGCATTTCACTATCAACATGAACCTGAAGGTCCTGGAATAAAACACGAAAACACTTGTCAACATACTTGGTTGAAAACTCATCCAACTATCAATTTATTTTGACTTGTGAAGATCATCTCAATTGAAATGCAAAATAAGCCTTCTCTTTAAAAAATTTAACATGACTTCCTATTTAGTTTCGATATGGAAAGTCAGCCTCTATCTGCATAAAACTTTTTCCAAGTAAACATGGCATTTCACCATCAACATGAATCTGAAGGTCTTAGAATAAAACACAAAAACATATTCATTTTCATTGAGAAAAAATGCATTGAGACAGATTCTAAAATACTGAAAAACACACAACATTCGGAAACAGCATACACCAAACTGCAAAAGTATACATACATTATACAAGTATGCAACAAGAGCCCCATTAACAATGTCATCTGAACATAAACAAGCAAATTGGTTCCGAAAAAAATAAACTCATACCTCGAAGGTACGTGCAGTAGCATTCCGCTCCATTAAGCTAGGTTTAGAAACATTATTCTGACGTCTGCAGGATGTGGTTCCAGGATTAATCTCTTTGCTGAGATTAGCTGATAGATTAGGCGCATCCATGCCTTTTCCCTTCTCATTTCTTACTGAAGTTACGGCAGTCTGATTAGTCAAAGGATTGGCATCATCCACTTCCGTTTGATTCAGGTTTTCTACAGAAGCTTCAACAGTGTGATTGGCTGAAGGATTGCATGCATCGGTATCTTTTCCAGACTGATTTTCAGCTGAAGGCTTAGCTGAAAGGAGGGATGAGCCTGCATCTTTTCCATTCTGGTTTTTTACCAAAGGATCAGGATTCATTATTTTTCTAGCCAGTTCAGAAATAACAGTATCTACACCTTCTCCACATTGTGTCTTGGCTAAAGTACCCTGATTAGATAATTTTCTTGCCATTTCAGCAATTAAATTTCCAGCCAGCTGTAAGGCATCAGGAAGAGGATCCTTAACCCTTGCTTGCAGCTCCTCAGAACTAGCTCTGAGTGCTCCACGCACTCTATTCACTTCATCTGTAGTTATAGTGTCATACAAACTAGATGATATGTCTCCTACTGCAATTTCCGTATCTGTGATCTTGACGGGACCTTTTGATCGTTTGATAGGAACAACATGCTTGTGTTTACGAACCATATTGTTCTTCTGAATTTCTACATGATTTAAATAAATAAAAAAACAGAGAAGAGAGAAGACGACAGTTATAACATGACGATGGAGCATTAACTATGCCAAACAGCACAGCATGAAGTAACATATAAAAAGGATTATTTTCATCCAGTTAATTCTCAATTACAAGAGAATTATAAACCTCAAGCGAAAAAAAACAAAAAAAACAAAACAAAACCATCATGAAAGTACAGAATCTAGACAAGAAAAATGAATAGAACTAAGAAAAAGGCATACTTCCACGTTGCATTCGGCCCCCAAAACAATCCCAATTCATGTCATAAACTAAGCCAACTAGTAATAATAAGCTCAAATGACACACTTGACTGTTTATTCTTCTCTTGTCATCAGATTTCCTCAAACATCCAAAAGTAGTCAAGCAAATCCTAATAACACACAGTACTGCCAACACAAACCCATCAAATAGTAATAAAAAGTAAACTGCAGAAAACCATGACTAGCAACCGAAAAAGAAAAAAGAAAAAACCCACCTCCATTTTTCTTTGCAGGCGTATCAGCAGGCCCCAACTCCAAACTCTTGTCATCCAACCTCAAACATGCCTCTCCAGCTTCGACATCAACACAAATCCTACCGCCACCCACATTGACTTCCATGGCCCCGCTTTCACCACTCCCTGCCTCACTACATTTCTTTGCATTCACATCAGCCAACCTTGAACATCCCTCTCCAGCATCAACATCAGTACAAACCCTACTGCTACCCACATTAACTTCCTTAACCCCATTTTCACCCCTACCTCCCTCCCTGCTTTCATTTGCAGGCTTATCAGCAGCCCCCAACACCAGATTCCCATCAACCAACCTAGAACATCCCTCTCCAGCATCGGCATCGATACAAACCTGTCTGCCACCCACATTAGCTTCCATCACCCCATTTTCAGAACCCCCTCCCTCCCCACTTTTCTTCACAAGCCCATTCACCTCCCCACCACCAACATTTACTTCAACACCCTCATTTTCACCATCCCTTCTCTGCCAACACAGACTACCACCTCTCTCTCTTATGTCCATCCTCGCAACCATCTCAGCAAACGCCGGCCCACTAACAGCAACCGCTTCCCCTAAATAAACTCTAACCGTCTCCACTGCCTCGTTCCTCGTATTCCTTTTCAACCACCTCTTAGCAACCCCATCATCCCACATAGCTAATTCCATTTCCTCCCAACATTTCAACAACTCATCCGTAACCAACTCACTCCTCCCCTCTCTCTCCAACCCACCAACCCTCTCCTTCCAAACCCTCTCCACCGCCTCCAAAAACTTCCCCTTTCTTGCCCTCTGCAAATTCCCCAGCATGTACTTCACCGTACACTCCACCGCCACAGCACAGTAAGCATTCTTCATCGAATCCATTATCAAATCACCTTCGTTCCTATCAATTTCTTCAATCATCTCTATTGAATCAAGGGTTTTCTCTGAAACCGAACCCTCTTCGATTTCGGCGTCCAGTTGCCGGAGAAGAAGGGTTTTTTTGAAACGGGGGTTAGTGTTTGATAACGGGACGTGAGGGTTGGTGAGGATTTTGGTGATTGTGAGGCCTGGGGTTTGTAATTGACTGAGTATAAATTCAATAGCCCATCTAGTAATTTCTGGGTCTGGCTTTCTTCTTGTGGTCATCGACATCTTTAGGGCTTTGGCAAGGAATTACATAGAGAAGAAAGATTGAAAAATCAGGAACTTTTTAGGGTTTTTTGGTTTTTAGGGAGAAAACGGAAAATAAGAGGAAAGAGTAAAGAGAAAGTGAGAGTGTTAATTTTATAGTCCTTATAGTATTACCTTTTTGTCCATTGAGTGCCAATTATTTTTTATATAGGTTTAACCATTAAATGGTCCATGTACGGTTTTAATTTTTTTTTTTAGATCTTTTATTATTTTTTTAGTTTTATTGAAACCTCCTATTCTTATAAATTTATTTATTAATATCCTCTTTTATAATGTCATTAACTATTTATTATATGTGATAAATTAAAATTAAAAAAAAGGACCAGAAGGGGAAAAAAGGGAGAAGAAAAGCTAGAAGAAAAACATAAAAAAAAGGGGATAAATTAAACGAAACTAAAAAAGAATGAGAGAAGAAAAAGAAAGGGAAGAAATTAAAAAGGTAGGAGGACGATTCCAAAACAAATCCAAAAGAATGAGGACTAAAATAAACAAAAAATAAAACAAAAAAAGAAGAAAAGATGCAAGGGTAAAATAGATACAATAAAAAGAATGAGGACCAACAAATGTAGAATAAAAGAAATAGCCGCTTAGAGGTACAATTGAAAGAAAAGAGAAAGATCGAGGACCAAAACATAGAAGAAAGAGAAAATGAAGAATCGTAAATGAATGGTAGTTTCGAAGGTTCCCCTTGGGTCTTGCGATTCACATCCTTCAGGTCGATCTTATGTTGTCTAGCTCTGGAAATGGAGAAATCCAAGATCAGGGGAAAGAAGGAAGTTGAAGGTTTAAAGCCTAATTGAGCACAGCATCAAGAAATCAAACAAACAAAGGCGAGAATTTTCCAAGAAAATTGAATGAGCAGACTCTTCTGGCTCATTTTCTGCCATTGTTATCTTAGGAACCAATTCAAAGAGAAGTACTACCCAGACCAGTTTGGAAAATTGTGATGACTTTTTTCCTTACAAATGTCAAACAAAACCTCTTCTGTGTGAATGTGTTAGGTTATTCAAATATCAGGTTTTGGTCCTCCGAGGTTCAATTATCGATTAAAAACCGAATTTTTCGATTCAGTTTTTAGTTAAAAAACCTTTTTTTTTATCTTTTTTTTTTAATTTTGAATTTTCTCTTGCACCAAGATGAAAGGCCACTTTTTTGCATTTTTTTTCAATTTTCAAGAAATGCTAATAGTTTGAATTGAAATTTTAGTAAAAATATCATAAGAAAATGCAATGGCTAAAGTCCGGATGGTCTTCTATCTATCAAAAATTCAGATATAATAACTTGAATAGTGATCATCCCCGACTAATTTGGTATCGAAGAACTTGTAATCTAGTGGTAGTTGTCTCTTGCAAGAAGTCGGAGTTCAAATCCTAATAGACTAGTTATGCTAGTAGTCTTGGGTGTGTGTATTTAAAAAATAAATAAATAAATTCCATTTCCCGTAGAAATCAATTTTTTTAAAAAAAATGAACCGAATTGAAATAATTTTGATTTTCGGTTTCTATTTTTTTTATTTTTTTATACAAAACCGAACCAAAATTACTAATTAGATTCGATTTTCGATTTAAACTGAATAGTGCTCATCCTTAATTAAATATTCTTTAAGCTAGTTTTTGTGCACCGGGACTAAGCTATTCCCATCAGAGAACAGGGCCTGGATGATGCATAAAATACTCCAGCTGCTTGAACATATGACCTATCTCATTGTTAGGGATGATGTCTAGGGCATACATTTAAAATTCACTCCTAATGCATATGAGGCAACTTCTCTTGTGCTTCTCTATTTACCTTGAAGATTTTGAGATTTCAGCTGAACAATTAATGCATTCGTGGATTCGAGAGGATTTGATCCATGGAAAGGAGTGGACGAACATGGCTATGATGGAAAAATCTACAGTGGTAAAATGCATGATTTGGTTCGTGACATGACTATTGCAATGGCACACCATGAGTCACTTTGTAACTTAATTTCCATATATCTCCGTCGATATAAAAATTAATTTAAAAATATTTTATTATCTATAAACATAAAAAAATAAAAATAAAACATTAAATATTCATGGTGATGGACTCTTTGCTTAGTTTGTTATGTTGAGGTTAGTCATTGTATATTTCATTTAGAGTTTTTATGTCTTGTTAACGTGTTTGATGAGTAGGATTCAAACTTGTAAACATTTTGATTCATTTAACACGTCCTAAATGTGTCGATACTTCATAATATTGAGAGAAATTATAAGCATTATTGCGAGTAAATCTATTGAAAAATTAGATACTCATCAAAAAAAATTATTGTAGATGAAAACATATAATTAATCAAGTTTAAATAAATCATCGAAAATTATAGATAGTGTAATAGTAAAAATGTTTTTTTATTTATCATATTAAGAGTTTTATTTTCAATTTTTAGAAGCTTTTTTCTCTTATTCGTATGATATGATTGTTGGTGGACTTAAAAAATGTGGCTTATAAAATCTGTCATAAACTAAGCATAATTTAATTTTAATTTAGTTTAAAAAGAGATGAATTTAGTTTTAACTAATATGAATGATTGCTAAAAATACCTTATTATAAAAATAAAATATATATGAAGACATAATTGGGACTAAAGTTTTTTAATTCATTACGTGGCAAACCATCATTTGCTGTTCATTCACTGCTGTGATGTCGCCTTGTATGATCATGATGGAAGGGAAGAATGATATTCTGTGCGTGAGGATTGGGGTTTCTTAAGGGTTAAACTAAATTAGTCCTCAAACTATTCAATAATTCTTAATTACACTCCAAACAAAAACTTTCTAATTGAATTTTCAATATATCAAAGTTCTTTACTTAGGTCTCCATATTCATATTCGATATAATATTTGATTTCTAAAATAGATAATTTAAAAAACAAAAATGAAGTTTCTTTGAAGAGAATTCCATATATTTTTGTCAAATATTTGTCATAATTTTAAGGACGTTAAAGCATTCATAAGCTTATCTAGATTTGTTTCTATCCTATAATTATATCAATTTTAAACTAAATTAATTTTTTAGCCCAACACATCAAATGAGGTATTTTTATGCATTAGTTTGATCCATAATTAAAAGCTCATATTTATTTTTTCATAAATCATATAAGGAAAAATTACAATAATTTTTATTAATTTATTTTATATTCGAGTCTTATTATATATAAGATATTTTATTTTATTTTAAATAATATTTTTTAATTTAATGTTATCTAATTATTAATTAAAACGAGTAGAAGTAAAGTGGTTTGAATAATACAAAGATCAATTTATTATTCTTATCATTATGATCATAATCATTATTTTTTACATAAATTCTGTTTATTTAAGACAAGATAATGTAAATTCTTATCGCGTATGACTAAATTGTGATCTTTAAAATTGATTTCAAACAAAGATTTTAATTGAAAAAATCTACTGAGTAGGATCTAATTGAGGAAACGATTTGGTTGAGGACTACATTGAGAATCAACCATCGCCCACTTTGTTAAATAGTGCAGCCTTCGCTAGGCAGCTAGAGAGTGAGCCCCTCCACTCAAAAACCTCTCCTCTCTCTCTTGAAATTTAAAAGAGCGAGAGAAACAATGGTGGCGCGTTGCGTTTCAAGATCAGACGACGTCGTAATAAAGTCACCAAACGATAAGAAACTGTATAGAGTGATTGAACTAGATAACGGACTCTGTGCTTTGCTAGTTCACGATCCGGAGATTTATCCAGATGGAGTTCCAGATGATTCTGGAACTGTAGAAGGTAGTGAAAACGACGACGGAGAAGAGGACGAAACGGAAGACGATGACGATGGCGATGCTGATGATGACGACGAAGAAGAAGAAGACGAGGAGGAGGAAGAAGAGAAAGGAAAGGGAGGTGCTTCGTCTCAGACTAAGAAGGTTAGTTTATTATTCGGAAATATTTGAAATTCGAATAGAATCTGTTGCGATTACTGTGAGTGTTAGGTTCGTCAGGATATATTCATTGATTTATAGTAGATGAACTGTTTATTGGAAGCTGTATACTTGAAAATTAATCTCAATTTTATTGTGTTTAGTCGTACAAAATTTTTGTTTGCAATATTGTTACTAGCACTTATTTTTTGAATGTGAATTTGATGATGGGAGATTTTGTAATTTTTTTTTTTTTTGCAGGCAGCAGCTGCAATGTGTGTAGCAATGGGAAGTTTTTCTGATCCTGCTGAAGCTCAGGGTCTTGCTCATTTTCTAGGTTTGATTGATTGTTTAATTTGTTTGTAGCATGTTATAGTAAACTTTAATAGCTGAAGGTGTTTACTAGAACTTCAATATTTTGCAGAACACATGCTCTTCATGGGGAGTAAAGAGTTTCCAGATGAAAATGAGGTTTGTTTGGGTGTGTTCTTTTCTTTAAGCAGCTCATCCATAACATGGAAAAAGAAAGAGGAAACAAATTGGAGAGGTTGCTTTGACTCTTCAAATTTAATTCACTCCTTCGTGTTTTTAGATGCCTTAGACAAACAGGAAATGGGGCTTGTCCTTATGAAGACTATCATAGATGAGGTTGCTAGGGGTTTAAGCAGTACATTTTTCACTTTTAATTTACTTTGACTGCATGGGTAAATTAAGCATCACACACGACAGAAATTCTAAACAAGTTTTCCTTATCCAGTTAAGAGTCATCTGTGGTCATGATTGTCTTGACTTATCGAAAACAACAATCTTTTGGGAAATATATTTTCCTTGAGGGCAATCAGAATGCAAATTTAGCCTTATACTCGTACACAGCAGCCTTTTCCATTAATTTGTTATTGCTTTTCTTTTGAACATTGGAATAGTTGCTTTTTACAAGATATATGGATGTTTCTATTGTCGTTCAACATTAAGATGTATCAAGTTAAGTGTAGTTTGGCCTCTCAGTTTGACATTTTTCTTTTCTAGTATGATAGTTACTTGTCCAAGCACGGAGGCTCATCAAATGCATATACTGAAACTGAGCATACCTGCTACCATTTCGAAGTCAAACGTGAATTTCTTAAGGGAGCTTTGACAAGGTAAACACATATTTCTGAATGGATAGGTATTTGTAGCAGACTGTCTTTCGATAGTAGGAGATATTTTAGTTTTTTTATGTTGGTCTCATTGCTTTATCAGATTTTCTCAGTTTTTTGTATCGCCCCTCGTGAAATCTGAAGCCATGGAAAGAGAGGTGCTTGCTGTAGATTCAGGTGTGTGCCACTCTTCTGAGTCCATTCTTTAGTTTTCCTTTCCAAAAAGAGCTGAGTCTTCAATATCCCCAATTTATATGTTAGTATTGAGCCATTGGCATATTTCTTATTGCTAAATTGTATATTTGAAATGCATGGATCTAGAATTCAACCAGGTTTTGCAAAGTGATGCTTGCCGCCTTCAACAGCTGCAATGCCATACGTCTGGACGTGGTCATCCATTTAACAGATTCTCCTGGGGTAAGCTTGCCTCTGTTATGTTTCTTTTTCAGGGTCTGCATTTGTGCCTAGGCAAAACTGAGTGCTTTCCTTTGTTTCACGGAAGGCAATAAGAAGAGCCTTGTTGATGCCATGGAGAAAGGGATAAATTTGCGGGAGCACATATTAAAATTATATGTAGATTACTACCATGGTGGACTAATGAAGCTGGTTGTCATTGGAGGAGGTAAAGTTTCCTTTAGGGATTCTTATGCTATGCGATCTACTGTTTAATATGTGCTTGGATGAGAAAACTGGTAGGAGGATTTTTTTCTTAATAAATCTGATTTGAGGGAAGTCAATTAGCATGACATAAATTCACTAAATTGTTGCATGTAGAAGTGATTTATTATTATCATTTTTTTTATGGGTAATTGTTTTGGAATCCATGGAATGAGGTTGGTCCAGATATCCTTTCTGGATGATTATAGTGGATCCCATGGAAATGGAGCTACTCTGGATAATTATGCCAGTAGAATAGTACCAGACTGGCACTGATGTTGGCAAGTGAGGGAGCAACATTAGGTCAGAGCTCTCCATTCTGCTGTAGTAGAGGTGCCAATGGTCATGAGTTGAGAGTTGGAAATTGACAGTTACTGTTAGCTTGGACTACAGTGATGGAAATAGCTTCCAAATTCTGAAAATGAATTTAGGGAAAAGCTTACTTCCAATTGGTGCATGTCTCTACAGTTTTGCATACCAACTTTCCTTTCCACATCTAGTATCAGTATTTCCTTTTCCTTTCTAAAATACTCCTTCAACATACATTGGCACCTGTGTAGAAGCTTCCTTACTTTTTTTCCACCAAAATTTTGTTTGTCAATTCTCTAGTGTGTGTTGTTTAGTTAGTGGATTTAGATCTTTGACTGCACAATGTGCCACTATAGGGGCACAGTTACTTCCAAGTTTTTTGTTTATTTTAATAGGTTTGGGTAAATGTGATGTGTTTTTAGTGAGACATAACTTTTTGTCTATGAAATGTTCCAATATAGGGTTACTTCCACAGTTTACAAGTGTGTATACTGTTCTGTAGATTATAAAAAGCACTTGGAATCTAATCTGAAAAGTGTTTGTGTAATTTCTGTGAGAGCACTTACACACACAGCATGTTTATGTTTTGATGGTAATGCTAATGCAGAGCCTCTGGATGTACTTGAGAGCTGGGTTATCGAATTGTTCGCTAAAGTCAGAAAAGGTCCTCAGACAAAGCCAAAATTTCAGGTGGAAGGCCCTATCTGGAAAGCTGGTATACTTTATAGATTACATTCTGTAAAAGATGTTCACATCCTCGATTTAACTTGGACACTGCCTTGTCTTCACCAAGATTATCTGAAAAAATCTGAAGATTATTTAGCCCATCTGCTCGGGCATGGTAAGATATACAGTTACATCTTAAATTACAATTTACTTTGTAACCTTTCAATAAACTAACTCTTTGTGTGTGCACTGCATGCTACTGATGTCTTACAGAATGTTTGAAACTTTTTGTCTTGCTTTTTCCCAAATAGAATCTCTGTTATCAGTTCGCTTTTTTCTAGTTTCCCCTTGATATTAGCATGGCATTCATGAATAGTTTGCCTGGATATTCTCTTGTCCTACATAAGATGTTGTGTTGTTAGCCACGTTCTTTTATCTAGATTTGTAATTTTAAGCAAATGTTTTGCACCTTGCAGAGGGCAAAGGAAGCTTGCATTCATTTCTCAAAGCTAGAGGATTGGCAACTTCCTTGTCGGCGGGAGTTGGGGATGAAGGAATGCATCGATCTTCTATAGCTTACATCTTTGGCATGTCCATTCACTTGACTGACTCTGGCTTGGAAAAGGTTTTATCTCTGTCTTGTATATTTTGAAGATTTTAATTTTTCTACTTTGCTGTGCTATAGTCCTCATTTTCGTAAAAACCAACCCTAGAGCTAAGATTTGCTTTCATGGAGGATCTTGAGGAGCTGCTTTTAATGCAGTGCAGAGCATGTCCACTTGCCCAGACCGTAATCTTTTAGTTATTCAAGTCTTAAAAGGAATTGTTAGATTTCTTGTTAAACATGTGTGTTTTTTTTTTTTTTTTTTTTTTTTTTTTTGTGAAGAAAAATTTTCCCTTTTAGCTGACTTTACTGATTACAGTGATCTTTATTTGCAGATTTTTGACATCATCAGCTTTGTTTATCAATACCTTAAACTATTACGAGAAGTTCCACCTCAACAATGGATATTTAAGGAACTACAGGATATTGGAAACATGGAATTCAGATTTGCAGAAGAGCAACCTCAGGACGATTATGCTGCAGAACTTGCAGGTTTGGCTTTTTTGATTCTTGCCTTCATCTGTCTTTTTGTGGGGTGCACTACTGGTGCTAGTTCTACTTGTAATTTGTAGTTTAAGAATTCGGCAGAGGTTCCTGCAACTATTGCAGTTCATGAGCTATGAAGCAAACAATTCATTATCTTTCTTCTATTGAGATTGAGATTCCTATTTTGATTAAAAATTCTATATTTTTGCAACCTTTTGCTATTTCACTATTCAATTCTTTCATGAAGAATTGTGGGGACCAATTTGAAGATTGCTCAAACTGCTAGTTACCTGGACCTTACCTGATTGCTTATGCAAGATGGTCAATAGTTCAGACAGAACTGTCTGTAATTTCTTATGTATCTTTGCTTTCCTGGTATAGCGTGTAACCTTTTGTAGTCATCTGAAGGTTTGGTGACCAAGATGTCTAGCAACATGTTGTAGGGCAGTTGCTATTTGCTATACAACAACATATAACAGCTGTCTTTCTTGTCTTGTCTTTCCCAGACTATTCAATAACATTTTGAGGGTCTTTAGAATGATTATCTTCTATTTTAACTAACTATGATTGGCGATTTTTTATTGCAGAAAATTTACTTGTTTTCCCGGCAGAAAATGTTATATATTGTGACTATGTGTACAAGATTTGGGATGAGGAATCGATAAAACATCTACTGCATCTCTTTACACCTGAAAACATGAGGATTGATGTAGTGTCAAAGTCATCTGTGAAGTCACAAGGTACTGATTATACCGCTTTTTTCAATATTCCCATATTTGATGGGATTATTATGTTGCCTATATTGCTATATAAAATTATAAATGGAGATATAATCTATGAAGAAAAGCATGCAAAAAGAACGATAATTGATCATCTCTCACAATTCTATGTCAAATTTGCTCATTTGCACTTTCTATGAGAGTTGTGGCTAATTCAAAATGATTTACTTTATATCTTCTGACAATAAGATCCAAAAGCTATATTTCAACATAAATGGTTTGCGTTGTTTACTCTTTTTCTTTCTCTCCCCACTCTATTTCAGATCTCCAATGTGAGCCTTGGTTTGGATCATCTTATATTGAAGAAGATATTCCACCTTCTTTGATGGAATTATGGAGGGATCCCCCAGAAGTTGATGCTTCATTACATCTGCCTTCAAAGAATGAGTTTGTTCCAAGCGACTTTTCAATTCGTGCTGATAACTTAGACCATGATCCTGTAAATTCATCTTTCCCAAGATGTATAATTGATGAACCATTAATGAAGTTCTGGTACAAGCTCGATAGCACTTTTAAAGTACCTCGTGCAAATACATATTTCCGCATAAATCTGAAAGGGGCATATGCAAGTTTGAAGAGTTTTCTCATGACTGAACTGTTTCTTCTCCTTCTCAAAGATGAGCTGAATGAGATAACTTATCAGGTTCATTGCTTATCTTGTATTTGAAAGAATTCTCTACTTTTGTAATTTGTCAGCTGAATGAGATAATGACTTGATGAATGACTTTGCCTTGTTTCGTGATTTGTTATGAGGATAACCATAGATGCGTTATATTGAGATCTGAAACTCTTTCTATTGGAGCATATTTTTAATGGGGGCTTGACTACTGTAGCAGCTTACCACATTTTGTAATTTGTCAGCTGAATGAGATAATGACTTGATGAATGACTTTGCCTTGTTTCGTGATTTGTTATGAGGATAACCATAGATGCGTTATATTGAGATCTGAAACTCTTTCTATTGGAGCATATTTTTAATGGGGGCTTGACTACTGTAGCAGCTTACCACATGTATTGGTTGGCCTAGTTGTTCAAATCCATTTGTGCTGTTTTGTTGGTATAAAAGTTAGTTGAATGGCCCTCAAATTTTGTTGTACAGAAATGATGAGTTAGACCTTGCTTTAGCTTGTCACATTATTTTCATAATGTTGGTCATTTGTTCTCATTTTGTTTCTGACATTCACTTTTCACTCTGTAAATTTGAATTTTTGTCTGCTATTGTACATATCATATGACAGGAAATTTTTTATTGTTTCTCTGCAGGCCAGTGTAGCCAGGTTAGAAACATCTATATCTCTTGTTAGTGACAAGCTGGAGCTAAAGGTTTATGGTTTCAATGAGAAGGTCCCAGCTCTCTTATCTAAGGTTTTGGTGATAGCGAGATCCTTTTTGCCAACGGATGATCGTTTTAAGGTAAACATACAGTGGCATTTGGTGTCAATAGATGCTTCAATGTGTTTTTATTTTTCAATTGAATGCCTACTCTAATATACTGCACTTATTTGGAGACAGTGTAAAGTTTCTTTGCTGATTTCCTGGTTTTTGAGTGCGACAGGTTATTAAAGAGGATTTGGAGAGAAATTTAAAAAATGCCAACATGAAGCCTCTAAGTCATTCATCATATTTGAGGCTTCAAGTTCTGTGTAAGAGCTTCTATGATGTTGAGGAGAAACAACATGTTCTAAGTGATCTGTCTCTTGCTGATTTGAATTCATTTATTCCTGATCTTCGTTCCCAGGTATGCTTAACTCGTGGCATGTTAAAAGGTCCTATTTTTCTTCAAGATGGGTATTTGTTCATTTTAGGATGTCATGCCTTGCATATTGTACGGATTCCCAAATTCACTTGTTTCTGCATATTGTACAGCTCTATATCGAGGCCCTTTGCCACGGCAATTTGTTAGAAGAAGAAGCAATAAACTTATCAAATATAATTAGAAGTAACTTATCTCTACAACCACTTCCAGTGGATATGAGGCATGAAGAGCATATAATATGTCTTCCGTCTAGAGCCAATCTTGTGAGAGATGTCAATGTGAAGAATAAGTCTGAAACAAACTCTGTGGCTGAGGTAATTGAAAATTTTCTAATTTAACAATTTTCTTTTTCCTGATATGATCCATTACATCCTTTCTCCTTTCTGTTCTCTAATGCAGCTTTATTTCCAAATTGAGCCAGAAGTGGGGTTGGAGTCAATAAAGTTGAAGGCCCTGATGGATCTTTTTGATGAAATTGTGGAAGAACCACTTTTTAATCAACTAAGGTAATTTTCCAGAGGTGTTTTTATTTTTATCGATTTTTCATATTAGGTTGGGAAATATGCTTACCATTTTGGGGAAGCAAGAGTGTGATTGTGAACCATACCAATGAGATCTCTGCCTCAGATATTTACCTGTATGTGAGCTTTTGCTGTTCTTTTGGGGATGTGTAAATGAAGGTTCCCTTATCTACATATTCTATTGGATGGGCATAGAGAATGATTTAGTTATATCCAGATTGTTATGCCCAACCTTTAATGAGAAAACCAAGTTTTACCAAGGATTTATATTGACTTCATTCCTTCTGAAAGTTTTCTGTTTATTTTGAAAAACAGGACAAAAGAGCAGCTTGGTTATGTTGTTCAATGTAGCCCCCGTGTGACTTATCGTATTTATGGGTTTTGTTTCTGCGTCCAATCTTCCAAGTACAACCCAGTTTACTTGCTAGGAAGGATTGAAAATTTCATAAATGGGCTCGAAGAGTTATTAGTAAGTATCCAAGTTCAATGTTCTCGTATATTGCTAGTTTCTTATATTTTTGCTCTGCTTGACTCTAGATTATAGTTATTGTTTGAAGAAGCTTGTCCTTGTCCACTACAAGGACCATTTGCTCGGCCAAATTGCTATACTTGGATGACATGCTCATGGGAAATTGCATCTTTTAGGGAGTCCCAAGTTGGATGGTTTGGGCATTTGATGCAATATGTAATGTGAATATGAATTGTTTGATTTTTGCTTATTAGAACAATCATTTTGGGTGGATTAGCTTCATTACTCTGAGGTGCCTTCCTGGTTTTTACATGGCATGCTTCTCCTATATTTGTCTTTGCTCTCTCATGGACAACTCTTATAATTTTCTTAACCCCTCAAAATATTTGCCTTAAATTCTCATTTAAGTTGATTTTAACTTATATAAACGTCAACTGTGTTAAAGCATCGGGGGCTTTTAACAATGAGATATGATGCACTTTCAAGATGCTTGATTTTTTCTGCGCTAACAAATTATTTTTTTGATATGTTGGTGTGCAGGAAGGACTTGATGATGCATCCTTTGCGAACTACAAAAGTGGGTTAATGGCGAAGCTACTGGAGAAAGATCCTTCTCTCCAGTATGAAACCAATCGGCTGTGGAATCAGATAAGTGATAAAAGGTACTACTATCTATATACTTCTAAACATGGATGATAATTTTCAATTCAATGAAAACCGCTTGAATTAAATGAGATCCTGATCTCGTTTTAAAGCACTTTACAAGCAGACATTAGAGTGTTACTGAGCTCATGATTCTATTTGATGATCACAACTGTGGAGCCATGATTCTTTACTGAATTTAATGAGTATCTAATGTTTCCTTTGTTTGCTGTTGTATGAATGTGGCATTTTGCTGATTGTAATCCTACTTCGCTTTCGATTTTCAGGTATATGTTTGACTTCTTACTGAAAGAAGCAGAAGAGCTTAAAAGCATTCACAAGACTGATGTCATCAACTGGTTCAGAACCTATTTGCAACAATCATCCCCAAAGTGTAGGAGACTTACGATTCGGCTATGGGGTTGCAACACTGACTTGAAAGAAGTTGAAAATCAACCAGATTCTGAGCATGTCATTAAAGACGTCGATTCCTTTAAGGTATCATCCGAGTACTATCCGAGCCTTTGCTGAACAATATTTGATAGAAAATTCAATTATTGAAAAACCATTCAAGGCCTTGGTTTGAACTATAGATGGTTTTGAAACAACAGAACCATAAAGGCCCAAGTTTGAACGATAGATGGTAGATGGATTGGAAACAATATTATCCCTTCCACTTCAGAATAGGAACTGAAAATCAAAAACTATGACCATTCATGGAACGCTATATTCATTTGGAATTTTATACATCACAAATAAAGTTTGTCCTATTCGTTCATTATAGATCCTGAGGTTCTCCTGTGTTGTCTACCAAATTGTAGTCATGTATTGAAATGGTTACGGCTTGCCATAGTTAATAGGTGATCCAATAAACCCCAAAAGTAATTCTAATTCACACCTTTTGTGCCAATATTTTGAAAAAAAAAAAAAACCTTTGAGTTTAAAGACAAAAGGCTAAAGTTGAAGCAAACAGGGAAATATGTTGATTTGGATGGGCAACAGGATCAGCATGTGCTGTTGTCATTTAGCATAATGGATCAGAAATCAAGTCAATAATGGAGGACCGAAATTTGAACAGAACAGTCAAAGAAGAAGAAGAAGAAAAATCATCTAAGAAGTTTAATTGGTTACATATTAGGTTTTCTAAAAAAAGGAATTAATAAGTGAATCTATTCAGTATTCTTATATAATATTTTTTTTAATTTGTTTTTATATTTTTAATTAAGTAAATTTTATTTTTAAAAATACATTAAATTGTAATTAATCTTTTTGCCAAGATTTTCATGTCAAATTATAGAAATTTTTCACTGTGATTTGCACATGATTAATTTTGTTCACAAAATACCGTTGCAAACCAATTACATAGAAGATTTTTATGTGCAAATCATGTGACTAATTCTGATAGTTTAACTTAAAAATCTTGTCAAAAAATAGATTAAACCATTTATGTATATTAAAAATAAAATTAGTTCAATTACGGACATAAAGATATAAACCATTAATGTATATTTAAAAATAAAATTAGTTCAAGGACATAAAGATATATTGCATAGATACATTGAAGACTAACTTTATTATATAAAAATAGATTAAGCCATTAATTTATATAAAAAAAAAAAAGTGTTTAGGCTGCCAATGTGGGCTATCTCATTGAAGCTTCATTAGAAATACAATTCCATAAATGAGATAACAAAGCACATTAAGAACCATGATGGAAGTTCACCTCATGTCTTTCAATTTTCCATTAAGATGCACATGGTAGGGTTTGGCTTTGTCATCTAGCTATACCTTCATGGGAACTCAGGTGGGTCCTTGAGGCTTTTTTCAGTTGGTCCAAGCTGAAAACAGTCATTCAAATATGATAGCAAGTCTTGATCTTGTTGCCCTACTAGAGGGACTAACAATAGACAATCCCTAGTGAAGGGCACTTCTCATATTGCCCTCCTAACCAACAAGAAAAAACACTGAAAAAACTTCTGTGCTTCCTTGTGGACATAAAACTCCCCATTACAGCTCCTGGAAAATGATGTGTCAAGCCTTGAAGGTCACAGGTCCTGTTCCTAGCTACCCTAAATTTATTAGGAAACTTCATCAAAAAATGCAAAATCTCTCTTTCTTTTTCTTTTTTTATGGCTGATATTGTTCTTTCTTTAAGATAGTAGCTATATCGTTTCAAAATTTCCTTGTTGGCACTATATCTTTGAACCTTGGCATTATATAGCTATGAAATAATAAATAACAGTGCCTTTTGGAGTGCTGAATCTGTATTTCTTTACAATGGATATATAACAAAAACATAGACATTAGAAACAAGGTAAGCTGTAAAATACCCTCTTGAATTTGAGTGAAAAAAAGAAATACCTCATGGACTAAAAAATTCTTAATTAATTTTACCTCCTAAACAATATGATTTTTTAAATTTGTCCTTTTCATTAGGGTTTCTTCGAGAAATTAGCAAAAAAATCCAAAAAAAAATTTCCAATTCCTATCTTTTTCTCTACTAACTTAGAAAGCTATGTTTACTAATAGATAAAAGAAAGGAATTGAGAAGAGTTTTAAGGGCTTTTCCATCAATTTCTGAACGAAATCTTAAGAGAATGAACAAAAACGAAAAACCATATTACTTAGAAGGTAAAATAAAATAAAATAAAAATTAGTTTACTATAATATTTGTTTTTTGGCTCAAATTCAGAAGTTCTTTATAATTTAGTATAGAGGAATAGAGTGTATGGATAGTTTGGAAGGTAGAGGATATAATTAATTAGAGCCAACCATTGTGGACAAAAGGTTGGTGTATTCAGCAACATACCCTGAAGTAATCCATAAGGAAGGATATTGGCAGGCAGGTGTAGTAATAATGTTTTTGAATACACATTTCAAACTCAAGAAATTGAAGGCCACATGTTGGTTATTTTGGTTCTGATTTAATAAAAAAATATATACGACTTTGAATCTTGTTTGTTCAAATAAAAATTGTGCATGGTCTTTGATGCAATTAATTTCTGTCTCCCCCAAACTGCCATTCTATTGTTAGAATTGCAGAAAAATCAATGCACGATAAGTCATCTCAAGTGATATTGTATTTATTCAATGTTTGGTTTATGCACAACGTGTTTAATAGAAAATAGATAAATAAAAAGTCCTAGCAAGAATTTATAGTATTCCATGTTCATACATAAGGCCATCATGTAATTATGAAAAAAAGGAGTCGTACTATCAAATTCCATTAATGAAAGATCCCTTTTTGCTGACCATTATCAAAATTTCAAAATAATTAGAAACATGCATGAAAAATATATATATTCAAAGAAAAACAAACCCTAACATGAAGAAAAAAACCGAACAAAAACCCAGACAAATATCCTGTTGCAAGCAAGAAAGGAAGATCTTTTTAATTAAAAACATATTGAATAAATTGAATATTGATGAGGAGGAGGAAATAGAGAGAGGATGCTCTCAAACTTGAACTTTCTGCAATTAACTATGTAAATAATTAGAACATAACTAATTAAATTATTGTTTTTTTCTTTCTTTTTCGTCAGTTTTGAAGTCTTTTTTTTTTTTTTAATTTTCTTGTATTAATTATTATTTTTTGTCAATTTATGAGATTTTGTATGAAGAATGATCCGATTTTGTATGAAGAACGGTCCAAAAAAAGTGAAGATAAAATGATGCATGAATGTAACATTCATGACCGCAAAGCCGGAAGTTGCATGTGCTCCTAACATGGTAGGACCCGCCCACATGAAATTATCTCTACACTTCAACAATATTAATATACTCCTGCATCATTTTTTTATTAAAAAGTAAGAGAAGTGATTAGGGTTTTCTTTACATAATAAGATCAGGTTTTAATATATCCTTAAATGTTTGATTTAGTTAATTAAATTTATTTTTATAGAATAATTGAGTTTTCTTTTCCTCTCCTATTACCCCCCCCCTGGGGCGATGAACCCTCTTTGCTTCTATTGAAATTGTCATTTTCGATATAATATTAAATTATGCATATGATAAATTATGTTAGTTCGAATTGTATAATGATAGATTGAAAACTCGATCATTTTATTATGATAAAATTGACTAGATTAAAAATATAAAGACATCGAAAATTCATCCCATTGCATAAAGATAAAATCATTTTTAAACCATTTTTCTTAAAAATTAAACATAAGTTAATTACTAGTGATTTTCACAGCCAACAACTTGTGTAAAAGTAGAAAAGTTATAGATAAACTCAATTTACATATAATTTTCTTTGCTTTATCCATATGATCAAACTTTCTAAGCTGTTTAAAGATGAGAGGATTGTGCCGCATATGTCATTTAAGTGTGTCAAAAACAAGCCATTCGACACAAGCAGTTTTAATCTAACGGTTATGTATTCAGTTAACTTTCGTAGTAAAACAAATTTTAAGTCTTGATGATTTTAGTTTCTTTAATGATTATTTAATGAGTAGAGTTATCTCTATTGTGTAATAAATAGGTCTATTGGACTTACCATGAATTTAAAAAAAAAAAAAAAAAAAAAGCCATTTGACCATAGCTAGTAAATGCCATTGAATACATTCCCATTAACACGATTCTTACATGTAAAGGGATTCTACCAAAAATGCAATAAGGCTAAGAGCAAGCACTTGGTTCTGCCAAAAATCCTAAGATTCATCTCAAGGACATCATTTCTTAACTTCTACTACTTAACATGAGACATCATAGGATTCGTAAACGAAAACAACACCCAATTTTAATAATTTTAGCCTCGTCTTACGTAGGAATCCACGAGTGAACATCAGCCAATAGAATGAAGAAACGTGTGATTGGTTTTTTTTTTTTTTTTGTATTTTATTACTAACCAATATAATTATAAATGATCAATAATTTATTGGTCAGTAATAAGCAATATGGTTTTAAGACGAATTTTATGTCAATGTGCATAGTTCTAATCCCAAAACCAAATTTATTAAATTTATTCATTCTCATTCCAAACATTTGTCACACACACACATATATATATATATATATATATATATATATATGAGAGAGAGAGAGAGAGAGAGAGAGAGAGAGAGAGAGAGAGAGAGAGAGACAAAAAAAAAGTCTTACAATCATCTAATAATTTAACTAAATAAATCATTTTATCGTATTATCATACATAGTCTTATTTAAATGATGATGGTCTAAGAAATTATCATGTGTTAGGTAGAAGAAATTCCTGTTATCGAAATTCGTATTTAAGTGATTCGTGAAATGCCCCTTCAATCCCGACAAATTCAATAAATATATATATATATATATATATATATATATATATCAATTGTTCTCTTCATTTTCTGTAAAAATGATACAGATAGTGTAATCTCATTCCCAAAAGGGATCCTTATTATTATTTCATATTATTTATTTATATTTTATGTTTGTTTTTGTTTTTCATCCAAGCAAATAAAAATATGGTAATTTTCATTTCCTCGACTAATATCAATGAAGATGGATAAAGGCACATGTGGATTAGTATAATTATTGGTAGCCTCATATAATAAAATCCAATCGAGTGTCCTATCTTTTCTGGTAGCATATATATACACAAATCGAATCCTTATTTGTACCATACAAGATGAATTAAATTTCTTTGATGGAATATATATGTCACAACAATCTCATCTAATATATATACACAAACCTTCATATTAAGAATAGAATATATCATCAAGTCAATCTAATTATATTTCAAATCGTTGATGTATCCATAAAGAAGAAGAAGAAGTAATGTTCTATTTCTCTCCCTCCCCGACAAGGAGAAGAAACTGAACTCACATGCCCTCCTTATCCACAAATAACAAAAGAAAAGGAATCTTCAGCAAAAAAAAAAAAAAACCTTATCCACACACAACATAAGAAAAGGTAAGCTTCGACGAAAAGAAAAAACCTTATCCAAACATAACACGTATTCTTAAACCCTAGAATTTATCAAGGTAACTTTTAGAATACGGCACATAAAGACAAATTTAGAAAGTAGAAAATAGCCACACAGATCATCATAGAAGGTCACACGAGACAGAATCCACGTGTGGACGGTGCAATCTTTTCTAAAGAATGAATGAAAATGCAGATAATAGTTTACATGCATGTATGATTTTCAACTCTTTTGTCCTGGTAAGAAATTAGAATAATATTTGTACAATGACAGAGAAGTAATGCTGTAATAAGCTACACTAATCAAATCCCAATCCTTTTTTCATGCTTCAAAGCATTTACAATTGGGCAGCCAGCAGCCATGTGGCCAGCAACATCAAACAAACGAAAAATTGGAACATGTCACTCTCTCTAGATGTTTTCCATGCCCACTTCAGAATTTGAAAACATATGTACATATCGGTGGATAATCCATAAATTTAGTAATTTATGTGCAAAAACTTATGGATAAACATGGTGTCATTTACCATCCAAGATTGTAGATATGGACTGATAAAAAGAGTACTTTTGGTTAAGAATTTCTTTTTTGTTTTCTTATCTATATGACACTAGTATGAGTTGCAGAAGGGATAAAAAATCGATAAAAAACTAAACATGATCTGTCATTAATCTAACTTAAAGAATTATTCACTTAATTATAATTAAGGTGAAAACTGATAGAAGATTACTATGCTGTTTTTAAACATTAAAAAAAAAAAAAAGTGTCATTTAATTTGATCTCATAATCTTAATTAATGAGTATATTGAATAGTAGCTTAAGGAAGCAAAGAGTCGTTCTCTTTGTCTATCCAGGACCAAAAGGGTGAAAGAGATATGTATTGGGGAAAAAAAGGAAAAAGAAAAATTGTAAAGCAATTGATTCATAATATCAGATAAAATCATCATAGCAAGGGATGTGAAAGTTAGATAATATTGTTTTTGTTGCATTTATCAAAGTGTATAAATCAAAAACGAAAAGTATAACATACGCATGCATCTTCTCCCTTTTTATCAAATAGGATTTTAATTTTTTGCCTCTAACATCATCTAATTAGAGAGAGCATAAAGTCTCCTTGTGGGACATTACCCTAACTTTTTTACGATAAACACAAAACATGCATTGCTTGATCAGTGACCACTTCCAACTATAATTACAGTGTGTTTATAGACTCCAAGTTGTTTTGCCTTATTCAAATTACAATCAAAGAGCTTAATTAATTTACTTCATATCCAATATGGCATAAATTGGATTTCAATTCATCAAAATTACGATATTTCATTACTTGTAATACTTATTACAGAATTTGTAGTCAAATAATAGTAATTTCTTGTAAGAAGTCACGGATTTAAATTCTAATAAATTAATTCTACTAGAAGTCTTAAATGTATGTTGGGTGTGTGAGCCGTAAAATATATATATATATATATATACTTAGAATACTTGCATCAATTAGGGTGATATATATTGGCAAGCATGCCAAACCCCACTAATCTTAATAAAGCAACAAGATTTCCTTCCATGTGCAAAAGATACTAATAATCCTTTTCTCTCTTAAAGACCCTACGTACCCAAACTAGCTCTTCACATTTAAGGGCAAATTCAATTCTCCAATGGTCCCAAATGAAGACAACATGCCCTACTTGCCCCTCTAGGGCATCTATGATCCACCTACACATCCATCACCGAAAATGAAAAACAGAAAAAATAAAAAAAATAAATAAAAAATACAGACACCAAACCTAAAAACTAGTGGCAACAAAGAAACTACATTTATTTATGAAGTTGTAGGAAGCGGTTGTGAGTTGCATGTGGAAGGTTTGGCCCACTAGGACTTAGCTTAGCGGTTGGTAACCCCCTTTCACGAGAACCAGTGCATGTGCAGCTTGATTTTCCTAATGTTATCAGTTCTGTGGCTTTTGGCTTCCTGTCAGAGCCTACCTTGTGGGTTTTAGCTAGACTTTTACTTCGCTTATAAATAGCACAACTTCCTTTCATTACTTCAACAACGCAAACACTTCTTCGTCTTGTATAATCTCCTCTGTCTTCACACTCTTGCTAGCACAAGAATATCTATCAGACAATTAGCTTTGACGACAATGGCAGCTCAAGCATTTGCTTCATGTACTCTTCTTCTCTTCATTTGCTTACACCTTCAAGGCATTTTGGCTGATTATGGAGGTTGGCAGGGCGGCCATGCCACTTTCTATGGTGGTGGCGATGCATCTGGCACAATGGGTAAGTTTAAGCCACCTCTAGCTAGTAGCTAATGTGTGTTCGGTAATGCGGTTGCATAGAAAAAGTACTTGATCAGGAATATATAATTGAATTTGGAGAAACAAAAAAAAAGCTGCTAAAATGATGATTCTATTGACTAATTGTTATGGGGTTTTTGGGATTTTCAGGAGGAGCATGTGGATATGGGAATTTGTACAGTCAAGGCTATGGAAAGAACACTGCCGCACTAAGCACTGCCTTGTTTAACAATGGCTTGAGCTGTGGTGCTTGCTATGAAATGAGATGTGACGCTGACCCAAGATGGTGTCTCCCTGGTACCATTACTGTCACTGCCACAAATTTTTGCCCACCTAACCCATCTTTACCTAACAACAATGGTGGATGGTGCAATCCTCCTCTCCAACACTTCGACATGGCTGAGCCTGCTTTCTTGCAAATTGCTCAATACCGTGCTGGAATTGTGCCTATAGCTTTCAGAAGGTAAATTAACTCGGCCGATTCACCCCCATATGAATAATTCTGCAAATTCAACTCTATATTCGTCGCATCAACTGCTTCAATTGTTAACAAAAAAAATGGATTTGTTCTTGATTTGGACAGGGTGCCTTGTGTGAAGAAGGGAGGAATAAGATTTACCATCAATGGTCACTCTTACTTCAACCTGGTCCTTATCACCAATGTTGCTGGGGCTGGAGATGTTCATTCAGTTTCAATCAAAGGATCGAAAACAGGGTGGCAAGCCATGTCAAGAAACTGGGGCCAGAACTGGCAGAGCAACTCTAACCTTAATGGTCAAAGCCTATCTTTTCGAGTCACCGCCAGCGACGGCAGAACTGTCACAAGTTACAATGCGGTGCCTGCTGGTTGGCAGTTTGGTCAGACATTTGCAGGAGGCCAGTTTTAAGATTTCACCCTCCAAAACTTCCTTCTTCTTTTTTTACCATTTTCTCTTTTGGGTCTAAGATTTTCACCATGATTAAGCTTTTGGTTGATTAATTAGTAGAAATTTGTATATTTATGTTACTATATGCTTCTTATAAGCACAAATTAAGAGGCAAAAGAGGGCATTTTAGTGATGTTTGGAGGAGAAGTAGCCTTGTAAAGCTGAGGTTGCTAAAACTAAATAGCACCCGCTTGGCCTTCCACATATATATGTAGTTTTCGTCTTTTTTCTTTTTTTTTTTTCTTGAGAAATGTATCCATCTCATTGAAGAATTCAAAAGCTCTTGAATATTCTAATAAAATTTGGTCTCAGATTGGTATATTTGTATGCAATTTGCCCCTTGCAAAGTAACCTTTTAGTCCCTTCCAAAATTGCCTTTTCCATTCAAATCCAACTAGCTAGCTCCAGCGTACAAAACCAGGGCTACAATGTAATCACATTATGCCATAGATGTCAGCCATAAAATTATCTAATTCTTCGAGATTATTATCTTTCTATTTATAAATGATTTTAAATAATTATCTATCAAAACTTTAAGTAGCATTAATAATTTTTTACTACACTTTTACTTCAATTTTGAATATTGATTTTTTTTTAGTATTTCAAATTTAAATTTATGAGGTATTGGAGAAGATTAAATTTGAAATTCCTGTTTCAAAATAACTTCACAATCAAGCAAGGCCAACTTAACTAAGATGATTTGGATAAAAATAAATTTATAACAAAATCATACGGTTATCAAAACACGAACCCGCAAAACCTTTTATGCTAGATACTGATTGAAAAAAAAGGATTTTTTTTTTTTCAAAAAAACACAACCTTTGAAAATTTATTTGTATCATATTTAATAAAATATTTTAATATTTATCATATTTATGTTTAATATCAATCACTTGTATTTATTTATAAACTCTTCTTGCGGATGAGTAATACCCGAAATAGCTATTTATGATATTATGCAATTTGTGCCACTACATGTGCAACAATATCATACAAGAAGTTTAAATAAAATAGAAAAAAATCGAATAAAAATTTCACTAAAAAGGAGCATTTTTACAGATAAATTTTATGTCATTTATAAAACAATTTAAAATCCTCAATTCGTACGAGAAAAATAAATATAAAAAAAATAAACAATAAAAAAATTAAGTTTAATATGAAAATATTCTAATGATTTTTAGTGCGTCCGAATGTGATTTCTTCTTCTTCTTCTTTTTGTCCGTCATTTTCATCAAAACAAACCTGTGAAATAAGTATTATTTATTTATTATTATTATTATTATTATTTAACTAGCTGGGCCATCCTGGACTTGAACCAGAAACCTCGTCCGTGAAGTCAAGAGATATTTTTGAAGGATTCGGGCTTTCTGGATTGTATGTATCCATTTGCCCTTTTACCAAAATGGGCCACAAAATTTCCAAGCACCAATCACATCTAAAGGATGCTCTGATTCCTGGAAGCCCATGACACAAGCAGTCCTTTCAAGCTTCTTTATAAAGACACATAATGGAATATGAGAAAACAAAAAATATTGCATTCTTTCATTTTTTTTAAAAAAAAAATTTAATACATAACTTTATTTCTTAACCTAACTCAGTGTATCTATTTTATATTTTTTCATAGAGAAAATCGAATAAAAAATTCACTAAAAAAGAGCATTTTTACAGATAAATTTTATGTTATTTATAAAATAATTTAAAATACTCACTTCGTACGAGAAAAATAAATAAAAAATTAGAGATGAGTAATTAAAAATAAAAAAAATTAAGTTTAATATGAAAATACTTTTATGATTTTTAGTGTGTCTGAATGTAATTTCTTCTTCTTTTTTTGTCCGTCATTTTCATCAAAACAAACTTGTGAAAAAAGTATTCTCGAGTATTTTAAAAGGTTTCGTTTCCAAGACTTTAAGAACAAAATGCATGCAAGTTGAAATTGCTAACACACAGATCACCTAGGTCTAGCCATGGCAGTTGACCATAACATGGTGGTGTTTTGATTGTGGAGAAGGTATGACAATTGTTTAATGGATTTTATTATTATTATTATTATTCAAACAAGTATTTTTTGGATGGTGGAGAAATTAATATTTATTTTATGATCGAAATACTTGATATGCCAACTAACAAATCGCAATTATATTATTTTATTAAACCTTCTTTTTTTAAAAAAAAAAAAAATTCAACTTTCAATATATTCTTATGCAAAACAAATATCATTTCTAAATGTTTAGTACCATATAATGTGCAGACATCGACAAAGATAGATTTAATAGGGAATATTGCAATAATTGGAAATCACAACCTAATTTTGTTAAAAGCTTGCGCCTGTTCACCAAATAATTGCTCTTTAATGTCTCACCTAACCATTGTCATGTTTGATTAAGTTTGATATGCTATTGTGACACCCCATCAACCATTATAATTTTATTTATTTATTTTATTTATTTAGGAAAACATCACTTTAGAGGTAAGTAATATAGGGGTAAATTATAAATTAGTCTCTCTAGTTTCGAGTAACAAATTAACTAGTCCTTTTATAATTAGTATCTTTAGTTTTGAGTAACAAATTAATTAGTCCTTTTGTTTTAAAACCTAATTATTTAGTTCTTATGTTTTTAAATCTGTTTGTAACTCGAATCTTTTTTTATTATTTTCTTAAATTTATTTTCATTTTTGGTTCAAAAAAAATATGGAAAAAATATGAACAATTAACGAAAAAAAGATATTTTATAGAATAAAATAATATTAAATTAAGCATGATCAACACCGATCAAAGTAAATAATTAGTTTTTGGAATGAATAAAAAAAATCAATTAATTTGTTTATCAAAACCAGAGAGACTAATTGATAATTTACTCATTTATATGGTGATCTTAGTTGTTAGACCTTGTTAGTTTGGGCATAAAAGGAAGAGATGATAAGAAAGGAAATCTTTGATAATGCATTTGGATTATGGTAAGTGCATCTATTTGAAAAGAAAAACATCCGATATCAAATTGACACTTTTCAATTTTAAAGGGACTTTTATGAAAATACTTGCTTAAATACACATGTAAACCAGCATAATTGGTTGACTAATGTTTTTAAGTGAATGCCTTTATACGTCGTCGTGTAGGGTTCTCATCGAAGAAAGTCATAAATTTGATATCCCTTAATTTTAATACATTTACAATTTAATCCCCACAAAAAACGGAAGAGAGTCAAAGCTTCCCATCACCAACAGCAACACCAACGACAGTCTCCCATTTCTTTATTTGTAATTTTCATTTCCTTTTCTCTCCCATTTATATATATATAAATCTTTCTCTTTCTCAATCAAAACAAAGAGGGTTACAAAGATTTGGAAAAGAATAGACTCCCCTTTTTAGTGTTCTTTCTTTTACAGATAAATTTCAGTTATAAAAAATTCTCAAAGGTTTCTCTTTCTCTACATTTATCTTTAATTTCATTAACAGATCTATGGTTTTTGTTCTTACCCGTTGTTATTTGTTTGCTGTTTCAGCTGCTTTGGTTGCATTTTGAAAATTTTGGATCAAATTATGAGGTGAATCAGGTACATGGTTTGTATTTTCTGTATTGAATTACAAATGTATTGCTTTCTTGGGTTTTTCTTTTAAATCTGAAATGGGCTTTCTTTTTTTTTATGTAAAATCTGAAATGGTTTTTTTTTAATGCACAAATGTGTTGATCATATTGAGATTTTGGGATTTTGGTAGATCTGGATCAAGGAGATAGAGTGATTTGGAAAACAAGTGAAAATGAGTGAGGGTCAGAAATTCCAGCTTGGGACTGTTGGGGCTTTGAGTTTATCAGTGGTTTCGTCGGTGTCGATTGTGATTTGCAATAAGGCTCTTATTAGCACACTTGGCTTCACATTTGGTGAGTGTTTGTATTTACATACCCTCTCCTTTTAACTATAATGTATCTTGTGTGATTAGGATTTAATTTTTGAGAAGCTAAGATTGTTTGATAGTTGAATCTCATTTGTTGTTGTCGGTATTTGCAATTGATTCGGTGTTGATGGGGTGCCTGCTGGTAATATTAGATATCAAAATTCATGTTAAAAAGGAGTTCTTTGAATATGCATGAATGGTGATTGTGTGAGCTCACTACTGGTGGAGCTTGATAGGAGATCATATACTCATTTGTTGGAAATCATGGAATGGACAGAAAAGGTTCTTTTTTTAAGTAAAAGTTTAAAACCACATGACCTTCATCTCTTTAGTGTAAGTAAATTGTTCATTATTTGTCACCTTTTATTATATCTTATGCATGTTTGTAAATTTTTATGATCATGGATGCATAGTGCCTAAGAGGTTGATCTGATTAGTTACTGATTGATATGATCTTTTATGGTGTGTGGTTCCGTGTGGTGATGGTAGCATCTAATGAACATGATGCAAAGAAATGATGATTTCATATACTCCTGCCATGCTACTTTACTTTATACTTGGATGCGAGCATATAACATAGAATCACTGGCAGTTTTTGGTGATGACAGTAAATGGGTTGAAACCCTGTATGAAGTCATTTTCCTCTAGATGTGCTTGATTTGAATAATCATCAATGCTATTTTTACTCAACTTTTGCTTTTGTTTTTTCCCAATTTTTTCCATCACTTATACTAACTTACTTTTTGGCGAATGCAGCCACAACATTGACAAGCTGGCATCTTCTGGTCACCTTTTGTTCTCTTCACGTGGCATTATGCATGAAATTGTTTGAACACAAGCCTTTTGACGCAAGAGCAGTAATGGGATTTGGCATACTAAATGGGATATCCATTGGACTTTTGAATCTTAGCTTGGGTTTCAATTCTGTTGGTTTTTATCAGGTATGCTGTCTTCTCTGTGTCCGACTTATGATCTGATATTTATCTTGCTTCCCAATCAGTATGCTACATTATTGATCAATGGTCATGTAATCTAATTTACTTATTCCATCATTCTGTGACAACATAGACCAATTTTTCTTGTTTAGTTTAATCTTATATATATATATATATATATATATATATATATATATATATATATATATTTTTTTTTTTTTTTTTTTTTTTTTTTTTTTTTTGGAGCAATGGCTTCTGAGACTGTATTTCCTTTCTTTTCTCAATTTTTAGATGACAAAATTGGCGATCATCCCATGTACTGTTCTTTTGGAGACACTTTTCTTCCGGAAGCAATTCAGGTCAGTTTGAAGCATGAGTATATTGTTTATTGAGAATTTTCCAGGCCTGCCACTAATTTTAAGTATGCCATATGCTTCCGTAAGTTATTTGGTGACAATTTCATTTTGGATCAACTTGTTTGAGTTTGTTTATGTGGTTCCAATTGTCTGGTGTACTTGTTATATTGCAGTCGAAATATCCAGCTTTCACTGACCGTTCTTCTTATGGGTGTTGGAATTGCAACTGTGACTGATCTTCAGCTCAATGTCCTGGGATCTGTCTTGTCTCTGCTCGCAGTTCTTACGACCTGTGTTGCTCAGATTGTATCCTTGGCTGAAGTTCCTTTGCTAATTGCTATTTAATTTATGTTGTTCTCCTTTTAGAACCTTTTTAATTGTTGTTTCAACAGCTACAGTTTCTCCGTTCTTGGGGAAGGCTATTCCTGTCTTATGCTTTTTCTCTTCTGTTCAGTTTGTTAAAAGCTTAACCAGGGTATTTCAGATGACCAATACCATCCAGAAGAAATTCAAAGTCTCTTCAACACAACTTCTGTATCAGTCTTGCCCCTATCAGGCATTAACTCTGTTCATAATTGGCCCATTCCTGGACGGGCTTCTTACTAACAAAAACGTTTTTGCTTTCAAATACACCCCTCAAGTGCTGGTAAGAATTGAAGAATACTCTAACCATTTTCCTGACATTCTCTCTATTTTCATGCTTCTAACAGTGCCCACTGCATTATGTGGTTGCAGTTCTTCATTGTTCTATCCTGCCTGATCTCTGTGTCCGTGAACTTCAGTACTTTTCTGGTGATTGGAAAGACTTCTCCAGTCACCTATCAAGTCTTAGGACATCTGAAAACATGCCTAGTTTTGGCATTTGGTTATGTTCTACTTCGTGATCCTTTTAGCTGGCGCAACATTTTGGGAATCCTTATTGCTGTGGTTGGAATGGTACTGTATTCTTATTGTTGCACTCTTGAGAACCAGCAGAAGCAAAATGAAGCACCAGCAAAATTGCCCGAGGTAATTCTCTTTCCTCTCTTTATGTTATAGGCCTAAGTTTTTGTATCTTCCTTGTGTTTTCTTTAAATGTTATTCTCGTTGTATTCATCTCATTCTTATAGTGCCATAAGTTTTTCGGACATCTTATGCTCTCATATCTTGAATGGGTTCAGGTCAAGGAAAGTGAAACTGATCCTTTGCTCAACGTGGAAAATGGAACCGGGATATTAGCTGATGGTGGCGCACCAAAGGTTCCGGTTTGGAACTCAAACAAGGACTTGGATGCATAAAATATTCTCATTGTTATAAATTCATTTACTCTAGATCAATATCAGTAGACAAACTGTTTCAGCGATGAAGATGTTGCTGGCAAGGGTGTATCCCAATTCACATAGCACGAGTTGCTGTATTCTGAGATCATTACTTATATTACATCAGATAAAGAGTTGAAGAAACATGCCATTAATATAGCAGTTTTGGTTTATTAGTTTTGTTGTATGAATCAAACGTGGAAATGGTATGATTTTAGGATTTGATTTGTCAAATGTATACTGTCATTACTGGATACTGCAAAATTTTTACTATTTGTTCTCTGGTTTTGTTCCTATGCATATGTGAAGAAGAACAAACATATCTCTTGTTATTTGAGTTGCCAGTAATCAGCTTTTCTAGTGCTTCTGAAACTTTCTACATTGATTATAGCATGGAGATCAATGGTTTGCATCTGAATCCTATTTGGTGTTCCTTAATTTGACCTATTTTCATTTATTTGCAGAGGAATCTTATAAGAAACTTAGAGTGGTCAATTTATGCAAGTCTTGGTGGATAAGTCCTTGCACTTTTTGACAGCTTCATAAAGATTGCTAGTTTTGTTGGGGTTTGCATTTACAGCATTTTAATTTAACCGACGGCTAAATCCTTTTTTTTTTTTTTTTTTTTTGAATTTTAAATCATTTAAGAATTAATTTTTCATTTTTTTCTGTTTTTTTTTTTTTGTTTAAAATGGGATCATTTTGTATGTTTTTGTTCGACTCTAATGATAGAAAGTATATGTGATTTATATGTTTTTGACTTTTAAACTTATTTGATAGCAAAAAGCATGCTAAAAATTGTGAATGTTTTATTTTCTTCTTAGACTTATTTCTTTCAATTTAAGCTCGATTTGAAACGAAAAGTAATTGGATCATTTTATTATGTTTTTTTTTGTTCAATTCTAACTATTAAAGTAAATGTGATTTACATGTTTTTGACTTTTTAACTTATTTAATAGCAAAAAGCATGCTAAAAATTGTGTGTTTTTTTTTCCTTCCAAGACTTATTTCTTTCGATTTAAGCTCGATTTGAAACGAAAAGTAATTGGATCATTTTGTTATGTTTTTTTTGTTCAATTCTAACGATGAAAGTATATGTGGTTTACATGTTTTTGACTTTTTAACTTATTTAATAGCAAAAAGCATGCTAAAAATTGTGTGTTTTTTTTTCCTTCCAAGACTTATTTCTTTCGATTTAAGCTTGATTTGAAACGAAAAGTAATTGGATCATTTTGTTATGTTTTTTTTTGTTCAATTCTAACGATGAAAGTACATGTGATTTACATGTTTTTGACTTTTTAACTTATTTAATAGCAAAAAGCATGCTAAAAATTGTGTGTTTTTTTTCCTTCCAAGACTTATTTCTTTCGATTTAAGCTTGATTTGAAATGAAAAGTAATTAGATCATTTTGTTATGTTTTTTTGTTCAATTCTAACGATGAAAGTACATGTGATTTATATTTTTTTTGACTTTTTAACTTAGTTAATAGCAAAAAGCATGCTAAAAATTGTAAATGTTTTTTCTCCTTCCAAAACTTATTTCTTTCGATTTAAGCTCGATTTGAAACGAAAAGTCGAAAAGTAATTGGAAGAAAATCCAATTCAAAATTGAAAGTGAAGAGATAGATTTCAATTAAGTTCTGAAAAGGATTCAACCGTTCAACCTTGATCAAATTCAGACATGGACTTATTATAAGAGATTTAATATGGATAAAGATACTTTCATCAACCTAATTTAATACGAGCCTAGTTTTATCAAACCCGTCAACTTCAAACTATCATGAAAGTAAAAACAAAAAAGAAATGATAAAGGATGCAAAAATCATGAAGAAAGAAGGGACGTCCATTTGTAAGGGCTTTTCCCAATATAGCTGGCAGCAGGCAATTTGCTGAGGATGCTTGGAATTGAGAAACCTGTCGAAGAATTGCTAGAATTGCTAAATGCCGACAAGTCCATTTCTAGGCACCAGTAGGTCGGAGCCCACTGTCTATCTAAGGAAACCGTGTAGCTTGGAGCCCACTATCAACAAGTCCATTTCCAGCCTTAATCAACTAGCAAAGACAATTTTTTTTTTTTTTAGGACCGAAATTGATTGAGACATAACATGTGGCTGGCTGCAGCTTGAGCCCATTATATGTGAGAGTAAATTATAACTTAATCCTTGTTTTTTTCACTAATTTATAAGTAAGTTTCTCTAATCTCGAAAATCATTGTTTAATCTCTTGATCACCTTTGTCTGTCAATTTTTGGATTAAGTCTATTAGGAATTTGGAATTCACTTCCTTAATTTACTAGTAACATAATCATGCATCGTGTTTGTGATATCTAAATCATTGATTGAAATCAATACAAAAAACAACCATTAGTTTGAAAAACTCTTAACTTTTCGTTAAGCTATACGAATTACGTTTAATAGTTAATATTCAAGACAAAGATATGAATTTTACAATACATCATATTACTGGTTGTGAAGTAATATGTTACATTTTCAATACATATCTAAAATTACTTGTCAACAAGTCGATAAGGATTATATAAAAGTTCTATTCTTATGTTGTTATTATTTCATATCCTAATGTGCTATATAAGCACATGTGTACGTTCTAATTAATGACAACTTGTCACATACTATGATAGATCCAAATTGAGTGATTGAATTAGTGACGTAGTAAGCTATCATTGGTTAAAGCGTATGCGTAGCAAGTCGTCATTGGTTGGTATTTAAAATAACAACAACATAAAAATAAAACTTTTAAATTAGACATAAAAAAATAAAAATACCAATAAAAAAAATTGAATTGTATGAAGTTTCGATATTTATAAAACTCAATTTGAGTTTTTTGAACAAGAGATAAACTTATTTATGTCTTGAAAAAACAAGGGTCAAACTATGATTTACTCGTATATCTTTCCATCTATATTCAACAATCGATGATAAGATAATTGAAAGTCAAGAGTCAAGACTCATCCTTTAAAGGCAGAAAAGGTGTTCAATTTTGGGTAAAGGAGTGTCCAATGGTCCAGAGGGACAAAATCTCAGCAGCAGCAGCAGCCACCATGACATTCCTTGATAGACTACAAATTTAGGCAGGCAGAGGTGCACATTATAAACGGTTCTACGTCACTTATGGTTGAGTAAATTATAAATTAGTCCCTCTAATTTTAAAAACTAATTAATTAGTTTTTATATTTTTAAATCTATTTATAACTTAATATTTTTTATTTTTTAAGAAATATATTAAAAAATTGGAAAAAATACTGATGAGAAAAAAGATATTTTTTGGAATAAAAAATATTTAATTAAACATGGTCAATACTCATTGAGAATTCAAATTGTAGTATTTGAAAAAAAAATGGCTAATCAGTTTATTTTTCAAAACTAAAGGGACTAATTTATAATTTACTCATAGAAGTTTTGGTTCATTAGTTTTGTTGTATGAATCAAACGTGGCAATGGAACGATTTTAGGATTTGATTTGTCAAATGTACACTGTCATTGCCGGATACTGCAAAATTTTTACTATTTGTTCTCTGGTCCTATGCATATGTGAAGAAGAACGAACATATCTCTTGTTATTTGAGTTGCTAGTAAGTCAGCTTTTCTAGTGCTTCTGAAACTTTCTACATCGATTATAGCATGGAGATCAATGGTTTGCATCTGAATCCTATTTGGTTTTCCTTCATTTGACGTATTTTCATTTATTTGCAGGGGAATTTTATAAGAAACTAAGAGTGGTCAATTTATGCATGTCTTGGTGGATAAGTCCTTGCACTTTTTGACAGCTTCATTAAGATTGCTAGTTTTGTTGAGGTTTGCATTTACAGCATTTTAATTTAACCGAAGGCTAAATCCATTATTTTTAAAAAAAAATTATATCATTTAAGAATCAGTTTTTTTTTTAATTATTTTCATTTAAAATGGTATCATTTTGTTATGTTTTTATTTGATTCTAACGATGAAAGTATGTGATTTCTTTAATAGCAAAAACATGTTAAAAATTGTGAACCTTTCTTTTTTTCTTCCAAAACTTATGTCTTTCCTTTTGAGCTTGATTTGAAACAAAAAGTAGGGATGGCAATGGAGTCATCCTCATTCCTGCTCCGCCCCAGAAAATGTCATCCCATCCTTGTCTCATGCCCTGTTTAGGATGATATTTCGCATATCATTCTCGCTTCAAACGAAACAGGTCGAAGCGAAGTCCTGTCAAATTATCATTCCTAAAGGCAAAAAGACGAGGCGAGAGCGGAGGCGAGAATGGTCCTATAAAATATCATCTCATTTTTATCTCGTGCTCCATTCAGGACGATATTTCGTATATCATCCTCGTCTCAAACGAGACAGGGCGGGACGGGACACCATCGAAGCGAATCAAATCGCTATCCCTAATGAAAAGTAATTAAAAGAGAGTCCAATTCAAAATTGAAAGTTAAAAGATCGGTTTCTATTAACTTTTTAAGTTCCGAAAAGGATTGAATCGTTAAATCTTAATCAAATTAAGACATGTACTTATCATAAGAAATTTAATATGGTTAAAGATACTTTTATCAACCTAATTTAATATGAGCCTAGCTTTATCAAACCCATCAACTTCAAACTACCAAAACCAAATCATCATGAAAGTAAAAACAAAAAGGAAATGATAAACGATGCAAAAATCAGGAAGAAAGAAGGGACGTCCATTTGTCGGGGCTTTTCCCAGCATAGCTGGCAGCAGGCATTTTGCTGAGGAAGCTTAGAATTGAGAAACCTGTAGAAGGATTGCTAAACGCCAACAAGTCCATTTCTAGGCATCAGTAGGTCGGAGCCCACTCTCCACCTAAGGATACCGTGTAGCTTGCGCCATTCCAATGGGAGTTGCTAGCCTTATTCAACTAGCAAACACAAATTTATCTTCGAAGACCAACATTGATTGAGACAGGGCATATGGCTGGCTGCAGCTTGAGCCCATTATATGTCAGAGTAAATTATAACTTGATC